CGTATAGCAGACAGTCTATTGTGGTCTGTTGAGTGCTATTTTTACATGTTTTTCCAGTTTCTCATTAATAATCTCATAAATATGTAGCAGAAGACACAAGACACGCCATCTGCGGCAGGTTGAACCCAGATTGTAGCACTTCAGTCATTCATCCCGGAGATGATTTCGAGCTTGTTGTTTTGTTATTGTTTTATTTTGTTGTTTTTTTGGTACACTGTACTGCGTAGGGTTGAGTGGGGTGAAGCTACACTGTCTGTACTTTATCTCACTCATAGTAACAAAAGAGGCTTGTTCAGAAATCCCCTGTTGACTCACACTGCTCACCACCGAACACTCGTCTCGGCCACAGCACAGTGCTGAATGTGAGTGAAGGGTATTTTAACAGCAGTGCGTCATAACTAAAAGTCAAGTGTTCATTCATTCGACCAGGGGCATTACTAGAGATTCATGGATGGGGGGGGGCTAAGCCTTTACTCAGGGGGTTTTGTATATTAAGCACAGATCTTTTACGACCTCAAAACTAAATCTATCTCCTTTTTCTTAGATAAACTGTAGATCCTACGTATGTTATGCGTATCACTGCTTTCGGAACAAAACCTTGTCTCTCCAAAACGATAACTTTACAGGAGAAGGAAAAAAACTAAAAACTTTTTTTTTACTTTTAATGTAAGTCAATGGAACCAGATTTCTTTCCAAGTCTATATATCTAATTGTTTGCTGGGTGTAGTATCCATAATTAATGCTGGTGTAAAACATCCCATTTTAATTACATAAAAGAAAGCAATTCCAATGTTATCAGCTCAGTTTTATCATCACACTTAGCTGGCTGTCTTTTTCACTCTGCAGTGAGAAGCCGTAAAGGCCTGCGATCCCAAACATGTTTACTGAGCGAACCAGTTTTAATTATTCATCCAACAGGCTGCTCCACTTCAAATAAAATGACTTTCCTGAAGTGAGTTGGGAGAGGGCAGCCGGTAGGGAGGATAAAATGATATAATTTAAGAAATGTGGAGTGTAAGCCATCACCGCGGCTATTAGTACAGAATACATCCTCAACGTATCTCTCTCGAGAGAAAGTTTAATCAAATTCACCACATTCATAACAAACCCTAAAACACTTGCAGATTTAATTCTAGCCATAAATAAGCCATTAATCACTCGAGAGCAGCCTGAGGGGGTTTGATGTGTGGTTATAATGAGTATTCATTACTACACATTATTAGGAAATAACAGAAACGCATCTTCCGCAGAGCCTTTAGCTGATGGATATGTCACTGGTAATTTATTATGACTACCCACAAGCTCTTACTATTCGTGGCGAGTCTCACTGGGGTTGCCACCCATCCAGGATTCTCCTGTATTATCCTGGTTTTTAGTTGTGAGATCGCAAAAAAACTTTCAACAGAAAAAGTAAAAGAGTCCAAAGCTGATGTTTTGGTAGCTGAGGTTAAGGTTAGTGGTGGTTTAGGTGAAGCACAGCAGCGTTCAGCTGAAGTAGAAGAATAAGAGTGCCTGCGCAGGCGTGGTGGGGAATATTCTAGATGTGTCCTGCTATCTGGCTGCCGGAGAAGAAAGATAAATGCAGGCAGCGTGTGGGACGACTGCAACTGCATTTGAGCTTTATTTAGTCTTCTGTCAAGTTCTGGGACAAAAATAGAGAACAGAAGAAAGAAGCATGCAGACCGAGACTGAAGTCTCACCTTTATGCAATCTAGCGTTTCCCATGATTCCTGTATAATGTGGTCCAAAATGTATTTCGCTGCTGTCTGAAAAAACCTTGTATCTCCATTTTTGTCGTTTTTCAGTTTTTGGCATAATTTGAAAATACTCTTTGTCTTTTACATTGTGTGTAAATTTCATGAGGAATGGACCAAAAGAAACGGCCCAAAATTACTTGGAAAAAATGTCTGGTTCCATTGACTTGCATTAAAAGTAAAGTAGGTTTTTTCCTTCTCCTGTAAGTTATTATTTTAGAGATAAGTTTTTTCCAGAAAGTGATATTACTTTTTATTTAATTATAGTTTTATAAAATTATAAAAAAAAATGTGCTCCAGCGACCCTGCGGCTCAGGAGAATAAGCAGCTTAGATAATGTGTGTGTGTGTGTGTGTGTGTGTGTGTGTGTGTGTGTGTGTGTGTGCATATCTAAAAAGCACTCTAGAGTTGTACAACTATCTAAGCCAAGGGTGCATAAACTTTTTGTTTTGGGGGAGCAGGTATTCAAATCACTCTCTCACTCACTCATCATCTAAACCACTTATCCTTCTGGGTCACAGGGGATGCTGGAGCCTATCCCAGCCCTCACTTGGCACCATCAAGATTTCTAATCAATCAACAAAAGTGTATTTTATGACATTATACTGTTATTTTTTCTAAAATACTTTAAAAATGCAGAATTTAATAAGTTGTATAAACAATAGTATAAAATGTGATTGTTTTTTCACTGAGAAAGTGGGGTGGGATCAGGGTAACTTACCAGTGGGCCAAATCAAATTACCTCATGGGCGTTTCTTTGGGCAGCTGTGGTCTAAGTTTTGGGCTTGTAGTTGGGATATCATCAGTTCAATCCCCGGCGATGCCACAGTCATCCATGGCTAAAGGTCCAAAAGATCATGATTGTCCTCACTCTTTGAGTGGGTTGGGTGGTCCTCCATCTCAGCCCTCACTCAGTGAGATGCTAGCCAGTGCTGGTATCTGCTAGCTGCTATAATGGAATTTGCAGTTAGTGTTCTCCTCCAAGCATGTTGAGCTGTCCAATGACATTGTGTCAGTGTCAGTTTGAAAAGATACAGCAGAACCTCACATGACTTGGAATTGGACCTGCCATGGGCACATAAAACATAGACAAAAATATGTCTGTTGTCAGAACGAAATCTTGTATCTCCAAAATGGTAACTTTACAGGAAACAGGAAAACCTACTTTACTTTTAATGTAAGTCAATGGAACCAGACATTTTTCCCTAGTCATTTTGGGTTGTTTCTTTTGGTCCATTCTTCATGAAATTTACACACAATGTAAAGAACAACAGGCATTTTCAAATAATGTCAAAAACTGAAAAATGACAAAGATGGAGATACGAGTTTTTCTTCCGACAGCAGCGATATTTTTATACATATATGACTAATTCAATTCTTATTTTCCTTTTATATATATGCTTTTGAAGTATTTTAGTTACAAGCTATCGTGTAATGTTATAAATCAACAGGACAACAAGTTTGGGCACCCCTGCTCTAGAGTCTTTTAACAATCAAACACAGGTATGACACACCAACTACGATCGTGCTTGTTGGCGTTTGTTTGTGTTCATCTGGTTGATGTACTTTGAAGGCCTAAATTTTGCCTTTCACTACCAGATGAAGACAAGGTTGAGGTGACCACTGGATATGTTGCCTGTTTCATTAGAACACAAGGCAGAAATTTTGAGCACTCTTATGACCATGTGCTCCTCTGCGTGGGCGCCATCTTTTCTTTTCCTGCGGACTGTTTGAGGCGTTCATCATCTCAGGAGCGTGTGTGATGAAGCTAAAGGCCGTCATTAATATTTAAAAGCGGAATAATTTGTTGGACCCCTCCCTCCCATCCAGGCACTAATTACTCTCCACCGAGCCTGAGGAGAGCTCCTGTAGGGGGTAGGGGGTGGGGGGTGAGCAGGGTGTGTGAGAGGCAGAAAGGAGGACAAGACGTAGTGAGGGAGAAGAAAATGGATGTATAATTTAAGACAAAGTCTCCAAAAGCAGACCCTCCAGAGAAAGCACTGGTCTCAGAACACAGCTACGTTGACTAAGTTGGACAGACATGGGATATACATTAAAAATGCACAGTGCTTCTACTTCAAAACAGCATAAATGCAGCATCAATGCTGAGTGTGTTTTATTCACAGTGCCACTACGACACCTAGATTTAGGTTCTGTACTCCACTCACTGAGCTCCATCTTTAAGTGTCTATCTATCTATCTATCTATCTATCTATCTATCTATCTATCTATCTACTGAAAAATGCCAACTTGCAACTCAACTGTAACTCACAGCTCTACTCTGGATATGTACAAGTAACTAACTATGTACAAGTAACTAACTTGCAACTCAACTAGTAACTAACTCGCAACTCAACTCATACTCACCAGTAACTGACTCACAACTCAACTCATACTCACCAGTAACTAAATCGGAACTTGGCTCGTACTCACCAGCAACTGACTTGCAACTCAACTCATATTTACCAGTAACTGACTTGCAATGCAACTCGTATTCACCAGTAACTAACCCGCTGGCCAGCTTGCCAGTAACTAACTAGCAACTTAACTCATACTCACCAATAACTGATTTGAAATTCAGGTTAGAGTTAGTCACTCACTGGCAAGTGAGTCACTGACTACTCACCTGTAACTGACTAACTCAACTTGGATTTGCCAGTAACTCACTCGCAACTCAACTCATACTCACCAGTAATTAACTCGCATCTCGATTTGTACTCAGCAGTAACTAACTCGCAACTCAACTCCAGGGTCTCTCTCCCCTCCATTATGGACATTTGCACCACACGCTGCATCTGCAAAGCCACCGGCATTGTGGACGACCCCATCCATCCCTCACACTGACTTTTTTCACTGCTGCTGTCTGGCAGAAGGTACCGGAGCATCCGTGCCATCACTGCCAGACAACTCAACTAGTATTCACCACTAACTCACAACTCAACTTGTACTCAGCATTATAAAACTAAAATTTTCTGCTAACGACTTGAGATTTGACTTGTTCTTGCAACCCAGAGACTTGAGACTCAGCTTGGACTTATGAACATCTCTGGTGCCTTGCAGGAATGTTTTAGGGGAATATATTGGTGCTGTCATAAGAAAACACTTTCAGAATGCACCTGTACTCGTTCATCGAGGTTTTTTCCTTTTCCTACAGTTACCATTTCAGAGATTTTCTTACCATGGTGACAATATGTATGTCTGTGTCTCTCACAAAAATGTTTATCGTCTCCTCTCTTGCTTTCATAGATAATCTTCCGTAAGATCAGTGATGTCAAGAAGGAGGAAGAGGAACGCCAGCGCGCAAAGAACGAGGTCCCGCTGACCATCCCCGTGGACCACCCGGTCAGAAAACTCTTTCAGAAGTTCAAGCAGCAAAAAGAGCTTCGCAACCAGGAGGCATCAGCACAGCATGACCTTGAGAAGAACCAGCAGCACCTTCACACTCACCTCCAACACACGCAGCTACAGCAACCGCACACGACCATTACCCAGAACACGCTCCATTCGGTCCAGAATGGAGCGGCTAGCACTGGTTGCTGTAGCGGCGTAGTCACTATATCCCAGATCACACCCATCCAGAACTCTTTGTCCTTGTCCAAACCTGTCGACCCTGTCAAGCAGAACAACAGTGATATCTTGGATCTTAAGCCTTCTGGTGACCAGACCCCAAGCACAACCCGCTTGAAGGTGAGCAACGCTGCCCGGGCCAAACCGGCAGGGACAGCCCGTGGCTGGATGAGGCTGAAAAACAACATGGCCCCCCCAGGGTCACCACCGGAGGATGGTGGAAAAGAAGGACGGAATAATGTCATCAAAGCCGTGTCCATGGAGCGCCTCTCGCCAGAGGTCAAAGTCCAGATAGAAGGTGTCATTGAAGTCAGCGGTTCCAGAAAGAACTCCCTCCGCAAAACGGACTCATGGGACAGCGGGCTGACCCACAGTGATCAGAGACTGGACCACATGGGAGAAGTGCAGAGTCCCGTATCTGGAGTAGAGGGACCAGGACAAGAGCTTTCGTTCCAAGCAGCGTTGCAGGAGGCCAGGGCAGAACTGCGGGGGGAGATCCAGGCCCTCAGTGGAAGGATGGCTGTTTTGGAGGAACAGGTGGGACAGATTCTCAGACTGCTGTCCGGAAAGAGTGACCCACCAGTCCGGACGTCTACCCCCAGAACATACAGAGACAAGCTCAAAGCACAAGACATTTTTACAGTCTCCACACCTGGTAGCCCTGACTCAGACAAGGAGGATGGGTCAGTCTGAGGGACACTAGGGATGTCCCAAAATGATATGAAAGATACCAGAACCGGTCCAGGCTTATTTTAATAGGATGATTTCAGCTATATTAAGCCAGATCAAATTCTGATCCTGTCTTAAGTCCATTTTGCCACATTGCACTCTATTTATGCCACTGTTATAGAGGTGACGGAAACAGTCCTACTCTGCAACCTACAGCAGTTAGACACATTCTCCAAAGTAGTGTAAATATCTGCAGTGTGTAGAGTGACCACACGTCCTTTTTTCAGACCAAAAACACTAGCTGGAAAAGATCTGGGATATGGCTTTGCTTTCATGTTGACATTTGCTCACCACGGTCTGCCCTGCGCTACCCTCCTGCCCCCAGTGTCCACTTCTTTAAAAAACAAAATCCTAGCAATGTGGAACTATTCTAATGTGTAAGATGAAAACAACACTGCAGCAACTTGTTATATCTGTAGTGCCAGTCTGGTTAACAAATCCAGCATCTCACGAAGGAAGAGCTTTAACGTAGGTGCACTCATCAACATTGTTCGCCAGACACCAAGGTGACCATTAGCCCATAAATGCATTGTTAGGTTAGTATGGCTGAAAAGTCTCCCAAAAAATCTCCAATTAGGCATGAAGATGTAAGTTACCTGTGTGGCGATATATATTACATTCGTTGTTGAGTGGACATTTCAGCCATGCTAAACTGTGATAACAGAAAAGTGTTCTGCTAAATAATGACAGTGGTTCACTAGCTTTTTTTGCCTGGACACTAAAAGAGCATGGACTAGATGTCCATTTTGCACAGTTGTCCCCAGACATGTATTATCGTTAGCACATCTGACTGGTTTTGTACATTTAAAACGTTAAAAAAAACCCACCAAACTGATCACAATTTTAAATACGCGATCCTCACTTAAACATGTTTACCTGCTGCCTCTTTACTGTATCGGAGAAAACAGCAGCAGCAGCTCCACGTTTGTTTATTTGGAGAACCACTTGAGTTCAATGAGTTCCACTCGGTTCAGCAACAGCCCCAAAAAAATCCAGTCGGATAGAGTGAGATGCACAGTCTTTTTATAACCTGTTAAGACTTTAAAAGTCGTGTAGTGAACCTAAGGCTTAAGGTTAAACTAGCCACCTCTTGTTAAAACACGATTAAACAAGTCCCGCTTAATTTGAAGTGCAACTATTACACACTTAGTGGTAAAAGTACCAATGTGTTCAAAAGTTAGAAAAAAGTGGGCTACTTTGTGCATGTTAGTGCAATAAGATACAAAAACAGTGTATTTATTATTTATTTATTATTTTTTTTCTTCAATTTTTACCCGGTTTTCTCCCCAATTTAGTTTTTGCCAATTCCACCTGCTAGTTAGGACTCCCCCAATCACACGGTACTATCAACGCTAGGAGGGTGAAGGCTAACACAGGCTTCCTCCGAGACCTGTGAAACCAGCCACCGCATCTTTTCGAGCTGCCGCTCACGCAACGTCATTGGACAGCCGAACGCGCTCGGAGGAAAGCGCCAACCGCCAGATCTGTTACGTCAGCTAACAGACGCCTGCACTGACTAGCATCGCGCTGAGTGATGGGGGGAGAAGGAGGGGCCGTCCCACCCACCCAGAGAGAGCGAGGCCAGTTGTGCTCTCTCGAACTCCCGGCTACGGATGGCTGTAGCATCACCAGGGATCGAACTCGCGATCTCCTGATGATAGGGCCAACGCTTAGACGGTTGCGCCACTCGGGAGCCTAAAACAGTGTATTTAAAAGACCAAAAAAAGGTCATTGAAAAAAAGAGAGTCAAAAAAAGCAAACAAGGGATGCATAATTATGTTGGAATCTTATTGATATTGGCATTTAGTTATTTAAAAGAATAAAATAAGATAATTGATGATTAGATTTATTGCACTATGGAAGAGTAGAAAAGCTTGGCAATGCTAGGTTACCATGTTAAAATGTCAGCATTTTATTAATTTTACCACATTTGTAACCCTATAAAACTGTTACATTTTACTAATCCAGCTCCCAATTTTGACCTTTTATGAATACAGTTATATCAGCATCAGCCTTGACCGATATGTATGTGAAAACATCAGTGCTGAATTCCCATATCGGTGCATCCCTACGATCGATTTCCGAACACTATGCACATACAAAACACTTTTTGGTTTTCCTGTAGCATTTCAAAGTGGTTGCTTTGCATGTCTGCAAAAAAAGGGGCAAAAAATCGGGACGTCCCGAAGAGACACTGAACAAGGTCTTAAACCAACAGTACTAAACCAAAACCCCATCTTGTGAAGCAGCGGACTGCTTTCGGGAGCAAAATGCTTTGTTTTTTCCACATGGATGTGATATTTTGGATGTGTCAATTGATCTCACTCTGCTAGCACCAACAACTGAGATGCTTTAGAAGCCGTGGAAGACGACAGACGGCAGTTCTGCCTCTAACAGTGCTTAGTTAGCCGTATAGCTGGTACTGGCTAATTTGAATGAACTTCGCGTTTACTTCAAATTCCTTTGCTGGAATGAGTCTTTGTTAGACACCTTACCTTTTGCACATACGTCACCTTCCCCTCGAGAGGGAGATCGAACTATTTTCTGACTTTTCTTTTCATAATTGTGCTGCATGTCCAGCTGGGTTCTGGCTTGCCAAGATAAAAAAACACTCAATGGTACCTGTAATATTTGAATGATATATAAATGCTTGTATATTATGCAGTTGACTGCATGCACGTTAGTGTAAAACCACTGATGTTTACTTATTTACACTGAGTCTGTTCAGAATATAGACCAGGGTTATGAGCAAAAGGGGCATGATACGCTTACAAAAAAGAATGTATTCTTATTAAACTATGAAAGAAGACACAGTGGCATTACGTTATTTGTGGGTGGAATTTTTTTCTAGATTTTGTTTGGGAAAGACCTGCACACTAATCCAAGAAAAGGCCTGATCTTTGATAGGAAAACAAACTACAAAGTATGTTTTAATCACTGATCACCTTCTTCAGACACTTAAGAAAGATTATACGTACTAAACAGTGAGATTAGACCTTCATGCACAAATACTAGATTTATTTTTATGGCTTATACACCTACAAAACTATTGTTTGGTTTTTTTCAGGTGCGATGAGTTTGCTCTGGTTACTCTGGTACATACTAGTACTGGCCAAACAACCTGGCCAGTACTAGTATGTACCAAGGTGGCCAAGGTATTTTTCTATAGCTTTTGATATCAATAACTTTAGTATGCTTTATACACTCACTGAGTACTTTGCTAAGCACACCTACCTTGTATCTACATTTACTGCCCATTTTATCAGCTCCACTGACCATATAGGACAACTTTGAAGTTCTACAGTTACAGACTGTAGTCCATCTGTTTCTCTGTATACTTTGTTACCCTCTTCTTCAATGGTCAGGACCCCCACAGGACCCCCACAGAGCAGGTACTATTTGGGTGGTGGATCATTCTCAGCACTGCAGTAACGCTGATGTGGTGGTGGTGTATTAGTGTGTGTTGCGCTGGTCTGAGTGGATCAGACACAACTGTGCTGCTGGAGTTTTTAAACACCTCAGTGTCACTGCTGGACTGAGAATAGTCCACCAACCAAAAATATCCAGCCAACAACGTCCTGTGACCACTGATGAAGGACTAGAGGATGACCAACACAAACTGTGCAGCAGCAGATGAGCTATCGTCTCTGAGTTTACATCTACAAGGTGGACTGACAAGATAGGAGTGTCTAATAGAGTGGACAGTGAGTGGACACAGTGTTAAAAATCTCTCGGCACTGCAGTAACACTGATGTGGTGGTGGTGTGTTAGTGTGTGTTGTGCTGGTCTGAGTGGATCAGACACAGCAGTGCTACTGGAGTTTTTAAACACTGTGTCCACTCACTGTCCACTCTATCAGGCACTCCTACCTTGTCAGTCCACCTTGTAGATGTTAAGTCAGAGACGATAGCTCATCTGCTGCTGAACAGTTTGTGTTGGTCATCCTCTAGTCCTTCATCAGTGGTCACAGGACGCTGCCCACAGGACGCTGTTGGCTGGATGTTTTTGGTTGGTGGACTATTCTCAGTCCAGCAGTGACACTGAGGTGTTTAAAAACTCCAGCAGCACTGCTGTGTCTGATCCACTCAGACCAGCGCAACACACACTAACACACCACCACCACGTCAGTGTTACTGCAGTGCTGAGAATGATCCACCACCCAAATAGTACCTGCTCTGTGAGGGTCCATGGGGGTCCTGACCACTGAAGAACAGGGTAAAAGGGGGCTAACAAAGTATGCAGAGAAACAGATGGACTACAGTCTGTAACTGTAGAACTACAAAGTGCACCTATATAGTAAGTGGAGCTGATAAAATGGACAATGAGCGTAGAAACAAGGAGGTGGTCATGATGTTAGGCCTGATTGGTGTATCATTAGGTTGAGTTAGACTTTTCATTCTGTATGTCTTGCAATAGTTGCTACAGATGACCGCATTTGTGGGTGAAGGATGGAAAGATCAATTCAACACTGTAGATGTTAATTCAATGCCTGGCACATGTCATCATAGCACAGATCACTGTCATTCACACTTTTCACTCTAACAGACCTGACCAAACATCTAAAATGTGTAATCAAGAGCAGATTAACTGACTCAGGTGTGATAAAATATAGAAAAGTGCTCGACTGCATTATAATTACAGCTTTTAGACTTGACTTTGACACAACTGACAGCACTTTATAAGCGCTAATTTGGAAAGATGCAATGTCAGGCTTCATAAGCATCAGAGCTTCTGGAATTTGTGAGCTTGCATTTTTTTCTTTTTGGCTCGTCTGTCTGTCTGGCAGACCTGCCTTTCAAGTCGTTTGTGCATATGGCCGCCGGTGGTGGGCAGGGATGAAATTCTTTCAGAGTGATTGAATCACTTTTCAAACAGACCCAGCTGAGACAGAAGCAAAGGCTCCTTCTTCTCTGAGAAAAGCCTTCAGAGCTGACAGTTCTTTTAAAGCAGTCTTGCCAGCATCA